TGAATTATATCATACAGCATAATACCCTGTAGGCCTATCCATGTTTTTGCAAATGTAACAATGTCATCATTTACGAATAATATCACATACATCTCACAACTTCTTTATCCATTCATTTATTCCTCTATCCATGAATGCTTAGGTTGCCTGTGTATCTTGGGTATTGTAAATAATGCTGGGGTTCAGATATCTTTTTGGAAAGTGTTTTTGTTTGCTTTGGATAAATACCCAGGCATGTATTGATTGGATCATATGGTATTTTATGTACTTACTTACTCATTCATTCATTCATTCATTTATTCTTAGATGGGGCATCCAGGTGGCTCAGTTGGTTGAGTGTCGGACTTCAGCTCAGGTCATGATCTCACCACTCGTGGGTTCAAGCACTGCATTGGGCTCTCTGCTGACAGCTCAGAGTCTGGAGCCTACTTTGAATTCTCTGTGTGCCTCTCTCTCTGTCCCCTCCTTGCTTGTGTTCTGTCTTAAAAATAAATAAATAAGCATTTATTATTTTTCAGCAAGAAAGAGAGAGATAACATGTACAAACAGAGGAGAGGGCAGAGGGAGAGAGACAGAAGCTTAAGCAGACTACATGCTCAGCATGGAGCCCACAACCCTGAGAACATGACCTCAGCTGAAATCAAGAGTCAAGTGCTCAACTGACTGAGGCACCCCTTTCTATTTTTGATATTTGAGGAACCTCTGTACTCTTTTCCACATTGGGTGCACCAATTTGCATTTTCACTAACTATACACTGAGGCTTCCTTGTTCCCCACCTCCTCTCCACACTTGTTATTTCTTGTTATTTTGACTTTATCCATTCTGACCAGTGTAAGTTAATATCTCATAGTGGTTTTGATTTGCATTTCAAGAACTTGGAAATTAAAGAAAGACAAGAATAAAGGAAAAATAAATTATCCTTTCTCCGGGCACAGGTAGCTGCAGACATATTTTTGAATAGTTAACTTCAAGTAAAATTTTGTAGTGAGAAAATATACATATATACATATATATGTGTGAGTGTGTGTATGTATTTGTATATATATAATATATAATACATGGTATATATATAATATATGATATATATAGAATAGGACTAGGACTAGACCCTTTAGGTCCTTATATTATTTTTACAGTTAACTTTAACATTTTTTTAATGTTTTATTTATTTCTAAGAGGGAGAGAGAGACAGCGTGAGCAGGGGAAGGTCAGAGAGAGAGGGAGACACAGAACCTGAAGCAGGCTCCAGGCTCTGAGCTAACTGTCAGCACAGAGCCTGACACGGGGCTTGAACTCACGAACTGTTAGATCATGACCTGAGCAAAAGTTGGACGCTTAAGTGACTGAGCCACCCAGGCGCCCCTACAGTTAACTTTAAAACATGTTTTTACCTATCCTAGACAATAGAATCCCCCCCCCTCAATCAGCCACACAAAATAAAGGATTTCTCAAAGCATGAGACAATACTCTTTTTGGAAAAAAACTGAGTTTCCCCAGTAAATGGTGCTGATAAAACTGGATATTCATACACGCAAGAATGATTGGAACTTTATCTTACATCATACACAACAATCAACCCACGATGGATTAAAGACTTAAAACTAAGACATAGAACCATAAAAAAATCTTAGAAAAAAACAAGTGAAAAGGTCTTTGATTATTAGTCTTGGCAATTATTTTTTTAAATTTGAAACTGAAAGCAGGAAACAGATGGAAACATAAGTAAATGGGCTCTGCCGGGAGCCGCACCGGCCTCTCTGGATGGCAGTCACAGCAAGGAGATGGCAATGTTTGCACAGCTTCTGCCATGAGAAATGAAGACTAATATCTCCTTCTGCTACTACTGGTTCAAGTTGGAAATGAGACTGCTGGTATTGACTAGGCCTCCCAATATTCCATATCAGACCCATATTCTGAATACAGATACCTCATAAGGAAAAGCATATTCCTGCCTTCACAAAAGAGACTTTAGATGAAAGCTCTATGGGCGATTGTCAAAAGGCTCTTCTTATGGGCCTTGCAGATCCAAGACTTAGATAATAAAGGGGGTTAAGAACACAAGAGTTACTATTGAGCCTGGTCCCATATCAGAAGAGCCTAATTTATAGTTAAAGTACAGATAAGTACAGAACATAACTTACTAATTGGTGATGTATGGCAGTCCCTTCCTCAAGGCCTACATTCCACAAACACCCTCCCTTACACTGGCAACTGGGATGAGGATTGATAAGAGTAGCTAAAACATAAACCCAGGTGCCAAGATGGACACATTTAGGGCCCCCATGAGGACTTCCACACACAAACAAATTCAGAAACATTCATCGTCTTGAGAGTCAGACAGAATGACTCCTAGCTTATCTATATACAACCTAACCTATATGTTATCCTGTCTTTCACTAAGAGCATCTTGTTATTTTCTTGGTTGTAAATTCACCATGACTGGGATAATTCTGTAATTGATATCACAAAAGACCTCTCATTGTAAGAAATTTCTTTTCTCTGACCTCATATGGTTGTTGAACCTTTAAATAAAGACACCAAAACCGACAGGACAGAGATGCCTGCCTGGTGATCAGAAAGAATCTCGGGGCTCTCTCACTCTCTTTTGCCAACACCGTCCATCCTTCAGGGACCCCTGGACCTGTTGGAGCCAGTGCGGCCTCCAGCAGGGCTCCACTAGACTAGTTTCTGCAAAGCCAAGAAGACCATCAATAAGAGCAGAAGGCAGCCTATAGGATAGGAGAAGGTATTTGCAAACTGTAAATCTGATAGAGAGTTAATATACATAATATATAAGGAACTCATACAACTCAATAGCAAAAAAAAAAGTTCTATATAAAAAAGAAAAATGTACAAACGATTTGAATAGACATTTTCCTAAGAAAGCATACAAGAGGCCTATAGCACATCAAAAACTGTTCAACACCACTAATCGTCAAGGAAACACAAATAAAAATTGCATTGAGATTATCACCTCACACCAGTTGCAAAGGTTGTTATTAAAATGTCAAAAAATAACAAGTGTTGGTAAAGATGGGGCAAAAAGAGAAACTTGCTTTTTATTTATGTTTTTTTCTTTAAATTTTCTAATGTTTATTTTTGAGAGAGAGAGAGACAGACAGAGTGTGAGTGGAGGAGGAGCAGAGAGAGAGGGGCACAATCCAAAGCAGGCTCCAGGCCCTGAGGTGTCAGTAAACAGCCCAATGTAGGGCCTGAACCCCAGAACCATGAGATCATGACTTGAGCTGAAGTTGGACACTTAGCTGACTAAGCCACCCAGGTGGCCCTCTTTCTGTCTTTTAAAGAACTGTACACTTGTCCATTGTTGGTGGAAATAAGATTATTATAGTCATTGTAGAAAATAGTATGGAGGTCCCTCAAAAATAATCTCTAAGATTAGAACTACCATATGATTCAACAACTCCCCCCCCCCCGGCATATATTTAAAGAAAATGAAATTAGTACCTGGGAGAGAGAGTGGTGCTCCCATGTACATTTCAGCATTATTCACAATAGTGTGTGTGTGTGTGTGTGTGTGTGTGTGTGTGTTTAATGGAATATTATTCGGTTTTAAAATTGGAATTTCTGCTATTTGCAACAACATGGATTAACCTGGAGGACATTATGTGAAGGGAAATATGTCAGACACAGAAAGATAAACATTGCATAATATTACTTACAGAGAATTCTTTAAAAAATCATGGCGTCTGGTCAATCCTTTTAGCGCTTTCGCTTCAGTGTTGATCTCCTCAGGTACACTTTTTGTAATTCTCAGATATTGAGCATAGGGTCAGGAGGGTGATGGGGAATAAAATGGAAGAGTTCTTGCCTATCTGTCGTGTCTGTTTACCTACCTTCCTACATACATATTATTTTCTTAATCATCCGTTTGTTCATCACCTTCTACACTGTACTGATGTACTTCTCAAAAGTCTAAGCAAAGTCTCTTTGCAAAGAGACTCCTCTTTGAAAGCAGAGGAGGTAAGAAAGGAGGACTGAGTATTCATAAATCAATAGATAACCAGAGAGTTAAACCACTGAAAACTGGAAGTGTCTTTACTGAGAAATCTTATAAACCAGTATGATTTAAGTGCCTTCCAAATATGGTTGTCCACATTGGAATTCAATACTGAACTAAGGATAATCCCACATTCTATAATGATTGGAACTTATTTAATTAAGGTTAATTGTATTGATTGTCATATAAAATGCACTATTCTAAAATATCATTGACAAGTTTGTTTAAATATTCATTTTAAAATTGTCAATAGGATACTTAGAAAACTATCCACGTTCTTTAAAAAGTCTATTTAAATGTTTTTATATTTTCTAGTTACTTAAAAGTACAATATAAGACAGGAAGGATACTAAAATTTTAATTTGAAACAAGTACTTTTTAAATGAAAAAACAAGTAAGTACCTGTTTTATTTTTTTTATTTGTATATAGCTCAGGTGTCTCGAGAAGTCAATAGATTCTACAAAGATCATATTAATTTTAAAACACATCTTAAAGTTTCTAGAGAAGATAATACAATCATTTATTTAGAAAAGCAAACAAAATGCATGGCAAACTAATAAAAAAAATAACTGAGCTTATTTGTAAATCCTTGTCTAAAATAATCTTTTACAGGTGTTCCATATAGGGAATTGTTCATTGAAGTCTGCATAATAATATGCTCTGCATGTGAGAAGACTCATAATATAAAGCGTTTGGTAGATGAATGCATTTTTATTTTTTTAACCTTAAAGATAAAAATACCAGTTATTTCCCTAGCAAAGCATGGGCTATTTGGGAATAGAATAGAATTTCAGGGCACCTGGGTTGCTCAGGTAGTTGGGCATCTGACTTTTGATTTCAAGTCAGGTCATGATCTCACAGTGAGATTGAGCCCCTGTGGGGCTCTGCGCTGGGCATGGAGCCTGCTTGAGATTATTTCTCTCCCTCTCTCCCTATCCCTCTCACACTGCTCTTTCTCTCGCTCACTCTCTCTCTCAAATAAATAAATAAATAAACTTAAAAAGAGAGAGATAATTGCAATTTGGAAGAAACAAACTTTGCAAAACCATACCCATGTCCCAGAAACAAAGGAGAGGCATGCTTTATTACAAGGGGTAAGTTGGGAAGGCTGCTAAAATCTAAAAGTCCATTGGAGTCAACTGGAAGTTTGAAGTATGGTGGCTTCTCATTGGCTGAGCTGTTGTCCAGGTGGATAAGCAAAGTGTTTCTTCCTCAGGCTGGAATAGTAAAGTTATATCTGATGCAAGTTCAAGTCCCTGTAGGGTCAAGTCCATCTCTTCCTATTGGGTCTGAAATTGAATACTAGTGAGAGTGTGAGACCTCCTCCTGCTGAATCCTGATTCCATTTTAGTGAGGTTTCCCATTACTAATATTCACAATTTCAGAACAGCAGTCTTATTTCCTCTTCATCTTCCTCAGTTCTCAAAGCTAGCAGAAACTTCTCTGTGATGTTCCGATGAAGAGTTGATATACTTATTTTCAGTTCAAATCTTCAGTGATCATTTAAATGGAGAGTAAATCAGGGTGAGAACAAAAAGGAACTGTGAGATTCTTGTAGAATAATGATTGAAATGCCAATATGTGAACATTCACATATTCAGTGTGGTGTGTGTGCATGCACCTAAGGGTGCCTGTTAGCAGAGGAGATAGCCCTTCCTGTGATAAGAGCTTGCCTTTAGGAGAATAGAACTAGCAGATGTGGAACATTATCGTCATTTATTTTTGCCCCAATTTAAGTCTGTGTGATATAAGAATTATATCAAATGTTGACGTTTCATTGGGAGTTTTCTCCTTCAATTTTTATCTCCCTTCATAAAATCTTCCTGGCAAAATGTGTATGTGAATTTCCTCGCCAACGTTGGAAGAAATTCAGACTTATTCTAACCCTTACTGACAATGTGAGTTAAGATGGTGATTTTCACAAAGGGAACAAAGATTCTTATTCCAATTCTAATTTGTTCTCATAAAATTCTATTGGTAAAGAATAAGCATTCTATTTGCTATTGCAAATGCAAGAATAAGCATTCTTTACCAATAGAATTAGCATTTTTCCCAATCTAAATTTAAGATCTACTAAGGTGTGAAAGGATCAATGGTTGGCTATGAGTTTAATAAATTATGAAAAGAGCTGGATTAAGCCTTAGTATTACCTATCTTGGTGCAATCATGTCATTCTATAAGGTCATTTAGATGTGTGGAAACCTATTTAGTAGTTTAGGAGGGCATATAAAGGTAAAGAAAAATGAATTTAACTTTGTATGGTCTTTAATAATTGCTAAGATCCTTGATTACCCTCCCATTGGACAAAGATTCACAGTGGAATCTACTTAAAAAGGAGCAAGTGATAGTAATTCATAATTAAATGTGACTATTTTCAGGTTAATTAATATTACTGAGGTTAATTCCAATATAAATTAAGTAGTCAATTAAATAAATTAAACATTTAATAGGCAGAGGGAAATGAGAATTTGGGGATGTTAAAAGCATCTTAATTTGTACCAGGTTACAACAATGAGTATTACCATTTATACACAAAATTCCTAAAATGAAATATAGTGAACTGAATGATTGTTTAATGATGTTAAAACTTCACTAAGAAATATGTACAGATAAAAAAATACTTTTGTATTCATCAGACTACTAGACCATGCCTCTCAAAAGTACCAAGTTTATTCAATTCCTACAAGTATTTAAAGAAAGTTTTTTACCTTTCTCTCTTTTTGTGATTAAAAAAATGTTATTTATTTTTGAAAGAGAGAGAGAGAGGAGAGAGTGAGTGGGGAAGGGGCAGTGAGAAAAGGAGACAGAATCTGAAGCAGACTCTAGGTTCTGAAATGTCACCACAAAGCCTGATATGGGGCTCAAATTCAGAACAGTGAAATCATGACCTGAGCCGTAGTCAGAGGCTTAACAGACTGAGCCACCCAGGTGCCCCCACCTTGATCTTAATCTTTAGATACAACCCCTGAGTTATATGTGGCGTACATATAGAGTCCATATATATATAGCTGTAGTATATATGTATAGTATATATATATATACTATATATATATATGTAGTATATATATATATATACTATATATATATATAGTTGTATGACTTTTATAAGTGTTATTTCAAAAACGTGCAAGAAATCAAAGTGCTATTCTGTGTGGTTCAACTCAGGATATAGCTTTTAAAGCAAGACATATGATTGAATTCATCAGAAGCTTATAATCTTTTAAAAGTCATGGTATAGTCAAATGAATTACTTTCCATGCCCATGTGTAGTCTATTCCTTCATTGACTTTGGGTTTGGCCATGGGACTTTGGACAATGGTAAATGAGCAAATGTGACACAAATGGAAACTTGATCAAGCTTATATATTGGTCTTGAGCTCTCAAAATACTTCCATAAGACCACTATTTAAGGAATAGTGCTCTCACCTACTGGAAGATGAGAATTCACAAGGAGAATTGAGGTACTCCATCCAATAGCCAGAAACAGAAGCCAGCAGCATGAGCATGATTCTGAATGAGAAGAACTGTGCTTGGCTAATATCATCCTAATTGCTGGTTCTCAGAATCACAGGCTAGTAAATGAGTGTTACTTACAGTTAATACATTTTGGAGTGATTTGTTGAACTTCAACAGATAACTTACATAGACTCATACTTTCCTAACTTAATTTTTATCTTTTACATCAATCACTCTAGTTGGATAGTCTAGCTATACAGCTCATTTCCTTTCTCAGATCATAATGGGAAAGAGATTTAAGGCACATATGTTGGGAAAGAAAAGATATCCTATAAGTAGCAGTATGACAAAAAGTCTGAGTCATACACAGCTTAATAAACTCAGAGATGTTTCAGGATCAGGTAATGAGTTGTAAAGGAAATAAATCTAAGAATCCATGGAGCACAAATCCTGTGTCTCTCACTCCATCACCTTAGATTAGCTAAGAGCCTTTTCATTTATCTATAAATGAATAAATGATTTTAAGCCCCTTTCACTCCCACTTAAATTATTTTATTTTGTGTCATCATACCATGTATTCTTACTGATTTCTGCTTCATGCTTCAAATTTAATTTGTTATTTGAATGTGAAAATTGATTTTGCATAGATATAGTAAACTGTATCTGCTTATTAAGTGATAAGTTTCAATAAAAAATCATCTTAAAACAAACTTCCACAGTCAATTTTCATCTTATATTACTGCATATTGTAGACATATTATCAAAAGGAATCAGCAATAACCAGGAAGTATTTAAAATTCAGCTAATTCATTGCCATATAGTTTATGAGATCAGGTAGCTTTGTGTGGACTTTTTTCCATGATTTATTAAGGAATGAGTGCGACTACATAGAGGCATCACAAAACCTCTGAAAATATTTTAAACTATCCAAAGAAATTAGAGTTGCTTTTTCTTCTGCATCCTTTCCTGCAAGTTCAAAAATTCATTTTACAACTACTAGTCGGAATGGGAAGAAATATTCCAATTAATTGGCTTCAGATGGATGAAAAAAACACCTCTAGCTTAGCTTCTGAGTCTCTTGACTGATTCCAACAATTGATCACCCCATCAGTGCAGTTTTGGAATCTGGAAGGATGACTAGGCCAGGTGTCAAGACGTTTTGATGCAGATTAATTTATCCATTCAACAAATGTTTTTGAATGTCCATTATATCTCAGCCCTGTCCTATGATCCAGAGATACAAAATTGCACAAAATGGGCAAAAATTCTAATCTTTCGGAGCTTATATACCAATTTTATTCCAAACACTGAATTGTCTTAGAGCTGCCCAACAGAAAACAGAATTAAGAACCCCCAACCCCAAATTGGTTCACTGATGTTTCCACACATTCACTAAGAAATATAAAAGATTACTCATATATTGAGACTTTCTGGTTATGGCATGGTAGGTATTCAAGTTGGTACAAATGGTTTTAATGAAGGGAGAAAGATGTGTGATTTGCAGCTAGGGGATGCATCTGGAGTGAGGGTGCCCCCTACCAGAAAGGATGATTTTTTTATAGTTTCAACTTGCCCAGTGCCCGAGGAAGGCAGACATGGACATTCTTATTGGCTTGCCCAGATGTGGAGCAAGGAAAAAGGGAGGGACGGTGTCTGAAATTTGTCAGGGGTCAAACATAAAAAACGGAATCAGATTCCATTAAAATTCCATTAAAATTGGGCCGCCTGAGTGGCTCAATCAATTAAGAGGCCAACTTTAAATTTAGGTTCAGGTCATGATCTCATCATCGTGGGATCTATCCCTGCTTTCACCTCTGTGCTGGACATGGAGCCAGTTTGAGATTCTCTCTCCCTTTCTGTCTCTGTCCCTCTCCTCCACTCGCTCTCACTCTCTCGGAAAAAATAACAAAATAAAATTCATCTGTGATATTAGACTGATAACTAAAATGTGTGATATTTAATTTAATTGTGTTTTTTAAATTATTTTTTTCTTCCTTAAATAGTTTATTGACAAGTTGGTTTCCATTAACACCCAGTGCACATCCCAACAAGTGCCCTCCTCCATGCCCATCACCCCCCTTCCCTCTCCCCCACCTCCATCAGCCCTCAGTCTGTTCTCAGCATTCAAGAGTCTCTCCTGTTTTGCCTCCCTCCCTCTTCCCAACTACTTTTCCCTTTCTTCTCTCACTTCGTCCTCCATTAACTTCCTCCTGATCCACCTGTATGTGCAGACATATGGTATTTGTCCTTCTCTGTCAGACTTATTTCACTCAGCATAACACCCTCAAGGTCCATCCATGTTGCTACAAACGACCATTTTTCATTCTGTCTCATTGCCATGTAGTATTCCATTGTAAAAATATACCATATCTTCTTGATCCATTCATCATTTGATTGACACTTAGGTTCTTTCCATGCTTTGGCTATTGCTGAGAGTGCTGCTATGAACATTGGGTACATGTGCCCCTATGCATCAGCACTCCTGTATCCCTTGGGTAAATTCCTAGCAGTGCTACTGCTGGGTCATAGGGGAGTTCTAGTGTTAATTTTTTGAGGAACCTCCATACTGTTTTACAGACAGGTTGCACCAGCTTACATTCTCACCAACAATGTAGGAGGGTGCCCATTTCTCCACATCCTTGCCAGCATCTAGTCTCCTGATTTGTTCATTTTAGCCACTCAGACCAGCATGAGGTGGTGTCTCAGTGTGGTTTTGATTTGTATTTCCCTGATGATGAGGGACGCTGAGCATCATTTCATGTGTCTGTTGGCCATCTGGATGTCCTCTTTGGAGAAGTGTCTGTTCATGTTTTCTGACCATTTCTTCACTGGATTATTTGTTTTTCAGGTGTGAAGTTTGATGAGTTACTTATAGATATTGGATACTAGCCCTTAATCTGATATGTCATTTGCAACTATCTTTTCCCATTCCATCAGTTGCTTATTAGTTTTATGGATTGTTTCCTTTGCCATGCAGAAGCTTTTTATCTTGATGAGGTCCCGGTAGTTCATTTTTGCTCTTGATTCCCTTGCC